TCTCATAGCACTGTACTCCTCTTGTCTGGCTGTATCCAGGATGTCCAACAGGCAGGTTTCACCATCTATAACCACCTGTTTTCGGTAAGAATCCTCTATGGTGGGATCATATTCATCTACAAAGTGGTTCTGGATTAGCTGGATGGTCAGCGCACTTTTCCCAACACCACCTGCTCCAACCACCACCAGTTTGTACTCAGTCATTTCACACCAGCAAGAACCTCAAGCTCCGGTGCCTCCGCTGCCAACAGATTTAGAACCACAACCGGGAAAAATGTTAGAGACCCCAGAACCGCCATGAACAGCCCCCTCAACTATATTTAGAGTTTTAGAGTTTATTTTATCTTGTTGATAATTCTTTACCAAAAAAGGTAGTTATGATTTAGAACCTCAAATCCATCTTTAATCGTTTGAGGATATTTATGTGCTTATTAGTAATCTTGAATACCCTGTTGTTGTTGCATTTTAGATTACATCATCATGTGACTTAGTCTTAGATTATTAATTCCATTTCAAGGATATTACCAAGGTTGAAGTGGAAGTAGTTTATCTTTTTAAAAGGATCTAAAATGGATGGGTAGAATAATTCTTTATTACACTTTCTATTTCTTTCAAATAATTTTTTATATTAATTAAGTTGATCATAAAAAGTTATGATCTGAGGGCCGGCCGAGTGGCGCGTTGGTTAAGAGCTGGCTTGGGATGCCAGAGGGCCCCAGTTTGGATCCTTATTTAAAAAAAAGAAAAAAGAAAAAAAGTGATGATTTGAGTTGATCATAAAAAATTGTGATTCATGAATAAATAAAAGAATTATAATCTTATGGGGCCACTGTCATATATGTGGTATTACGTTGAGTGAAAGGTCATTATGCAGCACATGACTGTATATGTTTAGTAGAAACAATGACTAAATCAAATTTTAGGCTAGTCATTTGATTGAAAGAAATTGAAGTTTGAGTAAAGCTGAATTATATAAAAGTTAAAAGTGTAAATGAAGAGTTTCTGACAGTAAAAATTGTGGAGTTTCTTTCTTGACTCAGCAAACATTTTGAGTGCCTGTATTGCTGTGGGGAGCTCAGAACTGGCGAGAGAAGTGAACAATGAGAGATATGCATGAAGTTCTGTGGGGGCACAGGTGGGATATGTAATCCAGACTGAGTGGGTGAGGAAGAGGTTCCCAGAGGACCCATCTCCTGAGAAGGTGATGTCCTTCTTAACTTTGTTTCTTCTCCCTCTTTATTAGCTTTAAACATTATTTTAAAAAGAATCTAGAAGCATAAGTACTAAAAAGTGTAAATCCCTATTTATACTTTCTGCTTTCCAGTTTCTAGTCTTCAAATTTTTAATTAAGAGATTGGTAAATATGCTTCCAGATGTTTTTCCTATGCATATACACCATCAGGGTTTGTTTTCCACAAAACTGGAAATTTTTTCCACAAAATTTTGTAACTTGCTTTTTCATACATATAATACTAGTCTATCATATACTCGTATATCTTTTCGTATCAGTAGATATAGATCAGTCTCGTTTAAAAACGTTGCCTCAGGCCGGCCGGGTGGCTCAGTTGGTTAGAACATGAGCTCTGAGCAACAGCGTTGCCGGTTTGATTCCCACATGGGCCAGTGAGCTGTGCCCGAGCTGAGCTGCTGCTGAGCTGCCAACAGGTGGCAGGATGACTCAAGTGGTGAGAGCATGTGCTCCTAACAACAAGGTTACCTGTTCAACTCCCACATGGGATGGTGGGTTGTGTCCCCCGCAACTAGATTGAAAGCGGCTAGTGGACACTTGGAGATGAGCTTGCGCCCTCCACAACTAAGGTTGAAGAAGGACAACTTGACTTGGAGCTGATGGTTCCTGAAAAATAAAACAACAAAAAAACCACACACAATGTTCCTCTTCCCCAATTCCCTAACACTGTTCCCTTCCCCAATTCCCCAATAAAATCTTAAAAACAAACAAACAAAAAAAGTTGCTGCCTCACATAATGGGATTGGAAATACCATCATTTATTTACATTGTTTCCTATTGGTGGACATGTAGGTTTCCAACCTGTTACAAACAGCGGATATCTTCGTACCAATATATTTATTTTCTTTTGTGAATTAAGTTTTAAATGATGAGTAGCATATAAGTAGGTAAAGGGAATGAGGATTAATGTGGAGAAGAAATATTTTCTAGGCTGGGGAACATTATGTAATTAAAAAACAACTGCTGAAGAAAATGACAAACTTTTAGTTAGGGGAGAAACATTTCTGTTTTTATGCGTAGGAAATATAGCACCTCTTGTTTTCCTAAATTGTATGCTAGAGTATCTCATTTTATGGAATAGGCATTTCTATACTGAATAACGTTATTTTTTATTTGGGAGAGTAAAAACTTTTTTTTTTTTTAAGATTTTTATTGGGGAATTGGGGGGGAAGGGGAACAGACAAGTTGCTGTCGTTTTGTTCTTCAATCTAGTTGTGGAGGACGTTGCTTCGCTGGTCCAAGTTGGCACCATCATTGCACTCTTCCTGGGCGAGGCAGATCAGTCGCCGGCTTCTGGACGGCCGCTCACGGCGGCTGCTGGCCGCTCACGCTGGCTGCTGGCTACATACGTAGCCCATGGCAACCCACTGCCACAGGGGCTGCAGCCTACGCCGTCGCCGGCGACTCACGGCAGCCAGCTCCAGGTTGAGCTGTTGTTCAGCATCTTAGCTGTGGAGGGCAGTGTTACTGGCCCTCATATGTGGGATCCGAACTGGGGCCTTCTGGCATCCCAAGCCAGTTCTTAACCATCGCGCCACTCGGCTGGCCCCCAAACTGTTTTTTTAATAAGTGTTACGATGGAGAAGTAGAATCACAAGCTGATAAAAATGTTTTTTTTTGAGGTCACACAGAGGTTAAATGGGTAGTTCTGAGCATAGAGCTTATATCTTAGCTGTCTTCCTCTTTTTAGCTCTGTTGTCTAATTGAGAATTTCTTACCCAGAGTTCAAAAAGGCTTTTTGGGTCCCGAGTCTCCCACTACTACCTCACTGAAACACATTTTAGTTAATTAAAAAAATAGTGATTGGAAAGTTGCTAGTTTATCAAGAAAGTATCTGAACATGGCATATGTGGCTTAAAGTAGATGAGTTGCGTTTTAATAAAATAGATATTATTTTTTACTAAAATCTTATTATCATTTAAAAGTTTTAGTTGCTGCTGTTTTGTTACAAATTTCCAATTTTAAAATGTTGCATATAGTGTCATATCAAGTACTACCTAGTATTATACTTACATCATTCCCCTGACAAGTAAGAATATCTGCTGATTTCTTAAAAATAACTTTGGAAACAAAATGGAGCATTCAAAAGTGGTCACATATTTCTGAGCTATTTCTAAAAGTAAAGCCTTTCTTCTTGGTTGCCAAGGATGTTTTGCTGTTTGGTTACTTGTGCTTTGTTGAATAGACATCTGAATCTTTGTAAGGCTCAACTTTTAAAATTTCTTACTTGTTTTAAAAAAAAGAGCACAGTGAAATAGCTCTAATTGGTGTTATTAATTTGAATAATATAAATGCTTTGAGTAAATCAGCCTAATGTGCTCATTACCTTGAACAAATAATTGTTTGTTGTATTGCATGATTATGAAGTATTCATATTTCATCCTGAGTAATTATTTATGTGAAGTGATTTTTAAGCATTTATATCTATTTTTTCAGTTAGAGTTATTTTTCAAGAGTAAAGTATACATTTAAACATGTAAAATAACTTATATTTAATTTTTCTAAAATAACTTATATTTAATTTTTCTAAAATAACTTATATTTAATTTTTCTAGAGCTGCTTTGGAAGAAGTAGAAGGCGATGTGGCTGAATTGGAACTAAAACTCGATAAGGTAAACTTTACTATTTCAGCTTTTTAAAAAGTTGATTTTTGTGTTCCATAAAGAATGATTTGTGCCTCTAATACCAGGTAGTTTGCATTGTTACTTCTTTTATCTCTATGAGGGTAAATGCTATTATTATCCCAATTTTACACATGAGGAAATTGAGGCTAGAGACAGTAAGTAGCTTGTTGCAAAACTAAGTGCCAGAGCAAGAATTTGAACCATGTCTGACTCAGAAAGCTTACTAGATATTCTTTATATTGCTGGGAGTTTGTTTCCTGCTCCATTAAAAAGATTGCACTGATCCTTTTGATGCTTAGTGGATTTTATACATAATCTGACCATTTCTGTTTATAAATTTGGGTGTGGCCGTGTTCAAATATAAAATTTGAAATACTCATTCTGTTTTTAACAGCTATTGCCAGAAATGCTTAATATATGTTTAATAATTGATATTAAGTGGTCATATTCTATGTAAGGATAGATGTATATTGATTCCTATCTTCTCTTATTAATTATTGATAATTTTTTTTTGCTTTTACCCAGGAAACATTGTCTGGTATATAACAGGCAGAAATATGGGAATGAGTAAGACATGGCTTCTGATCTTAAGTAACCATTGTTCAGCGAAATATCTCTTAAAATTCCTAGAGATAAATCAAATGCATATATTTGAAATAACTTTTTTGAAGATTTCCTTTTTATATAATTATTATTGTAAATGATATTGTTATATAAAGCAGTGTTTCTCAAACCTTACTGTGCATAGGAATCCCCTGGGGATCTAACCTTGTGAAAATACAGATCCTGATTAAGCTGGGGGGTACCTGAGATTCTCTGTTTCTAACCAGATTCCAGGTGATAGCTATGCTCTTGTTCTAGGACTGCATGTTGAGTAGCAAGGATATAAAGGATATGTTAATTAGGCTGAAGATTTTTAAGTGCTTTGGAATCATGAAATATATGTATACATGTATATAATGTAAATAGAATAGAAACTATGTAAATCAGTATTATTAGCTATACATGTAAAACAAATAAAAATTTTAGAAAATATTCAGTAATAAATTACTTTTGTGCAGTGCTCTATAGTTTTCAAAGCCCTTTGTTGTGCAGTATGTTTTTGGATTTTTGCAATGATCCTGTGAGGTAGGTGGGACAAGTGGTATTCCCATTTTATAGATGAGGATATGGAAGCCTAGGACATGAAGGGGACTGATTGCTTCATATCACAGAAGAGGCAGAACCAGGGTTAGAACCCATGTTTTTATTCTTAGCTCAGTGTGCTTCTTGTGCACCACTCACTTCTGGATCCATGTTGGGGAAGGATATGCCACTTGGAAATTTTCTGAGGAACACTAACAAGCTTCCAGGCGAGTGTTTTGAAAGATTAATGTTATAATTTTTGGTAAGGATATTATTTTCAAAAACTTTATTTTTTACTTAAAATTAAATGTATGGATTATTGTTATTGTTGTTATTACTTTACCGTGAGGTGTTATATTTATTTTTAAGCACTTTTTGGGACATAGTTTTTAAACCCTTAGGGTAGGCAACAGAAGATGTAGTTTTGATTTTTCTGGTAGATTTATGAGAGAGTAGATAGAAAGGCAAGGCTTTTTAAAGAATTGCAGAGTAGTATAATAGGATATCTATTCTCTTTGGGTAGAACTGTATCAAAATCATATGAAACATTTTGTGTGTGTGGGAAACTTCAAAATATGAAGTATCTAAAAAGAATCCACTGACAGAATTCTTGTTAATGATTTTGCTTTGATGAGCAGCTATTTTTTTCCCTTTATATCATTTGGTTGGGGTTGGGAGACTGGTAGAATTCTAAAATGAGAAGATTCAAATCTAAAACAAGTTATTAGCCCTTTCTAGAGTACATTAATCTAAAGGGCTACTAAGGGCATCATGGAAACTTTGACTTCTTTTAAAATATCATCTTCTACCCAAATAGAAGTTCCATAGCTTCTTTTACGTTCCTCTAGTTTAAGATCTTTCTCTCTTATTAAATGTACCCCTCCCAAATACTTAAGCTATTATCTGTCCTTTTTACTTGAGAATTATGGGGAGGTAGCATAGAGAAGAGACCCTGAGAGGAGCAAGAAATGGTTGTTATTGAAGGTAGTGGCACTGAAAGAATAGTGCAGGAGAGGGGTTGCCCAAGACCAGTTTAGTGATTTCATAACTTTGTGCAGGGCAAGTTTCACCTGTAATATCATTGTAAATCATGCCAGCAACAGGTTAAACTAGCTCGATGACTTAGCTTATATTTATTTTGCTTATACTATATGCCACCAATAGTTAACACTCTTCCTGGTGAATAATGCCTAATGAGTGGCATTGCTTTACTGGGTCCAGCTATTTGTCCATTCTGCCAGGTATTTGGGCATTGGTAGCAGCATAGGGCATCACAGTTGCCATTGGGACAGACTGAATATCTGTATCTGTTGCATCTTTTCACTGGAATGCTTGTTTCCTGTTTGTTAAGCAGATAACTTTTAAATCACAGCACAGGTACTACAAAACTTAGGTTCTTTTTCTTGTATTGCATTGCTTCTTGCACATACTTGCATTTAAATTAGTATAATATTATTGTAAGTTTGGGTTGAGCAGGGCTCCCTGCATTTGAATTAGGCTTTACCACTTACTAAGCTGTATGGCCTTGGCAAGTTCCTCAGCCTTCCTATGCCTCAGTTTCTTCATCTCCAAAATGGGGAGAATAAGAGTATTTATCTAATAGGGTTATTATGAGAATAAGATGTGCTAATACATATTAAGTGTTGGGCACAGTTCTTTGCAAATGGTAAGTTCTAAATAAATGGTAATGATGATGGTGTCTTTTCAACAGACTGTTAGTTCCTTGAAGCCAGATTGTCTTTAAAGGGGGAAAAACCCCCCTCTCATTTCTTGTGCACTTAGTATACTGAGTCCTGTGTTTTACTTACATTATTTCCAACCTTCACAACAATGTTGCAAAGTTGGTATTATACCCAATTTGCATATGAGAAAAATGAGACTTAGGGTGTTAACTTACTCAAGGATAGTCAGCAAATAAGTTGTGTTTTCATCATCTGGCAAAGCGCCTGTGGCATAGTTATCACTTTAGTGAAAAACTGTTGAATGAATTGTGACTGCTAGTTTGATAATTTTCACTAATTTGACATTTACTCTTAGGTAAAAGTCTTCTCTCTTTGTAGGCTTCAGTTATTCAGTTATATCTCAGTCAGAATTTACCTAATAAGGGTTTTGACAGCTGGCAAAGTATATCTTGCACCAAGTCATCTTTTCCTCCTAAGTAGCTGCAGTGTATATATGGTTCTGCTACATGACAATTTTATTTTCTCTCCGATTCCTGTGATAACGACCTCTATTCTAATTCTGGTACCTATTTTCATGGTCATATTCTATGCCTCATTATGCAGAATTCTAATCTCGGAGGTCTGGAATGCTGGTATCTCACTTTCTGACTTGAGTCTCCAGTCCTTTCAGTTTCAATCTTTACTTCTACTGCTTCTGTTCTTCAAGCTCATCTAGACCTCTAGTCTTGCAGTCTATTCACTTCTGCTATTTCAGGTCTCATTTAAATTAATTTCCCTTGCAATGTAATTTTTGTTTGGTAATTTTTTTATTAAGGTAAAATTCACCTAACATAAAATTCACCATTTTTAAAATATACAATTCAGTAGTTTTTTTGTATATTTACACTGTTGTGCAACCCTCACCGCTATCTAATTCTAGAACATTTTCATCACCCCAAAAGGAAATTCTGTACCTGTCAGTAGTCACTCCCAATTTCCCTCTCCCTGTATCTGCTGGCAAACCACTATTCTACTTTCTGTCTCTATGGATTTGCCTATTCTGGACATTTCATATAACTGGAATCATACAATATTTGGCTTTTTTTGACCAACTTCTTTCACATAGCATAAGGTTTTTAAGGTTTGTCTGTCTGTGTTGTAACGTGTTCCAACATTTCTTTTTCATGGCTGAATAATATGCCATTGTTTGAGTATACCACGTTTTGTTTATCCATTCATTGATTGATGGACATTTGGGTTGTTTCTACTTTTTAGTAGCCTTTCGGGCTACTCTTAATTTTATTATAACATTACTTATTTCTCTTCTGGAGACCATCATTTTCCTTCCATAACACCTACTCTACAGAATTCTCACTATATTAGTCCAAGCATCTATATTCTCTACCTCGTATTTGGGCTATAAAACAAGAAGTTATATAACTGTTTGGTGAAACCAGTTGGTGGAGTAATATATTCCTGGAATTTTTGATGCAAAGGAATTATTTCTAAGACTCAATCAAGTTATCTTATTACCTTTAGCAGCTCTTATACTTCATTCTTTTTTCAAGGACTTACTACCTTGGTTTTTATTCTCATTAGATGACCTCGACTCTTCCTTCCTTTGATGGGAACATCATTATTTCTTGCCACTGATCTAGAAACTTAACGGAATCGGTCCTTACCTTTTTCTGGTTTTCCTCCCATTTGAGTGATAGAAGTATCCCTTTCCTGTGCAGTCCCAGACTCTTAACTCCTCAGGACTTTACTTTAGCTATCTCTCTCCTGTCCCTTCTCTACTACCTTTTTATTTTAAGTAAATAAAGATGTTCAAGTTTCTCTTGAACAAAAACAAAAGAAAACCTCACCTCTGGCAAGGAAGTACAAATCTTTGTTGAGTAGTTACCATGTGCTAGTAGCAGTTTGTGCTAAGATCTCTATGTGCATTATCTTAATAATTTTATAGCAACCTTAAATGTTTTGATATCATTGTTATTGAAACATACAGAAGAAACTGAGGCTTGTTGAGGTAAGGGTCACTCAGGATCACTTTGGTGGTTAAATATGGCAGCAATATTTGAACCTAAGCTGGCTGAGCCCAGAACCTTGTGGGTCAGTTGACTGATTTATACTATAGTTGACTTACAACATACAATATTACATTAGTTTCAAGTGTACAAAATAGTGATTCAACATTTATATACC